TTTCTAAATATTTCTTAGCTATTAAAACTAAAATAGAAAATCTAATAATATTAGATTTCTAATAATTTCAGGGCTTAATTTATATATATATATATATTAATATTAATATATTAAAAAATATTAAGAGAATATTAGAGAATTATTTAATAAAATTTAAGTAAAGTTTATTTACTTTTTTTTTAAAAAAAAAATTTAAAATAAGTTATTAATTTATTCTTTATTTTAAAAAATAAAAAATTAATAATATATTCGAGTTATTAAAATCGGAATTAATTATACTAATATTCGAGATATTAGATTTAGTTTAAAATATATTATAATTATATTTAAATTTAAATTTAAAAATTAGTTATTAATTTATTATATATATTTAAAGATATATTACTAAATAAAGTTATACTTTTATTTTTAAAAGCCTTTAAATTATATTTATTAATAATTATATTAATAATTATATATATATAAAGTTCTTTAATATATAATAAATTAAAAACTATTATATATTTTAAGAATTAAATAATTAAATAATTAATTACTTATTAATTACTTATTAATTAGTAAAACCTAAATATTTTCTTTATAAGCTATTTTTTGCTTTTATAAAGTTAATAAATAAATTCCTTCTTTAATATAAAATAGACTAGCTTTATTTTAGGCTATTAAATACTTTTAGAACTAAACTAAAATCTTCTTTAATTTATATATATAAACTAATTAGTATTAGTTTACTAATAATATATAATACTATTATATAATATATATAAAATATTAGTTATATAATTAGTAAAGTAATTATTATTTAAAAATAAAAAGTATAATATTATAATATTAATATATTTTCCTTAAATTTACTAAGCCTAATTAAAACTAGTTTACTAGTCGAGTTATATATATAATATAAAGTTATATAACTAGTTATATAATAAATATTACTTATATTTTATTATTTATATTCTATTATTTATATTCTATTATTTATATTCTATTATTTATAGCTATAGTTATATTAATAATTATTTAAATAATAATAAATTTTAATAATAAAGCTTATATAATTAGAAAAAAAGAAAAAAATCTAAATATTTTATAAGTTTTATTTAAACTCTAATATATCTCCTTTATTTTATAATATTAATACTTATTTTTAGTTTTAGAAATTTAAATAAAAAAAATTTTTATTATATTATAATATATTTTATTATTTAAGCAAATTACTTAAAAAAGTAAATTCTTAAAACTAAACTAAAAGTAAATATTATTAAAATATTAAAAGAAATCTTTTTAATTACTTTAACTTTTATAACTTTAATTATTAATAAAATTATAATTATAATAAAATTATAAATAATAATAAAATTACTAATAAAATTACTTTTATAAATAAAAATAATAATGCTTTTTCTTAAAAATAAATTAATATATAAAATATAACTTATATTACTTTTAATATTATACTTGAAACTTTTATAAAATTTATTATTAAAAAAATTAAAAAGTTATTAAAAAAATCTTAAAGCTTAAAGCTATAAGATTTTACGAGAAAATAATTCAAGTAATTAGCCTTAAAATAAAAGTTATTATATTTAGTAAATAATGCAAAAATACTTATAATAAGCTTAATAAAATAAAATTTAAAATTAAATAATTTAAGAGAAATTAAATTAAATTAAGTATTATTATTCTAAATAAGAAAAATAATAAATAAGTTATTTATATTAAAGATTATTTTAATAAATATTCTTAATTTATTATATTTATTTAATAAATACTTAATAATAATAGATTTAATATTAGTTATAACTTATATAATATTTCTAAATAATATTATTAAAGTAAATATAAATATAATATAAGTAATAAATATAAAAAAACTAACTAAATTATATTAGAAATTAAATTATTTTAGTAAAGTCTAAACTATACTTTATATTTAAATAAGTTATTAAAATTAAATAAAATAAAATAATTTATTATAACTTTTTTCTTTCTTTATACTTAAATAGTTTCTTAAATAAAAGTATTTAAATGTTTTTTTAAGAAAAAATAATATAAGAATTAATATAATTATATAATTTATTAAAAATAAGAATTAAGAAATAAGTTTAAAATAAGGAATTAAATTAAAAAGCTTAAGTAAAATATAATTAAAAGTTAAGGCATTTTTTTCTTTTTTACTTTTTAGCTTAATATTTTTAATATATAAGATTTATTAAACTTTAAATATTTAAATATTAGATTAATTTTATTATTATAATATAATAAAATAATAAATTAATTTATAATTAATTCTTATGTCTTTAACTTTTTAATATAATAATTAAAGTTATTTAATATATAATCTATTATAATATTATTATAAGTTTTTAAATATTTTTATTATAAAATTTATTTCTTTTCTTTAATATAAAAAATAGCTTTGCTTTTAAGAAACCGAATTTTAGGCAAGTATTACTTAATTCTTTCTAATTTATAAATATTAACTAATTAGTATTAATTTACTAGTAATATATAGTACTATTATATAGTTATAAAATACTATTTGTATTTATTAATAAAGTAATTAATATTTAGAAACAGAAAATATAATATTATAATATTAATATACTTTCTCTAAATCTACTAAGCCTAATTAGAACTAGTTTACTAGTCGAGTTATATATATAATACGAGATTATTTAATTCCAAATATAATAGCTATATTAATAATTATATTATAATTTCTTTATTAATATAACTTGCTACTAAAATGAATTTACCTTATATTACTTATATAATTCTTTTATTAAATTTAATTATAGCTAGTTTTTTGGCCTAGTTTTATAATTACAAGAATTTTATAATAAATAGCAAGTATAATAATAACTTTTATTAATATAACTCAGATATTAAAATAAGTTTACTTGCCTTATTTTACTTATATAAAATTATTTAGTAATATAATCCCGTATTTATATAAATTTTACATTACTATTAAATATATTAGTTATTATAACCCTTAATATTATTATTATTATTATATTATAGTAATATTGCTTAGTTTTATATAAATAATACCTTATTTAAAAGAGGTATTAGGCTTTATATTTCCATTTTCTGGCACAATTTTATTACTAAGAGAATTATGTCTTGTTTCGGATAAGTACTAATATATTTGTAAAAAGTACTAAACGTTAATACATGAAAATATATATTGTTTTTTCGAACTTTCCGGAATAATATAAGATTATATATTACTCGCTATTATAGAGAAATATTGTGTGTATTTAAGGGCGGCTTCAAAAGAGAGAAGACAAAAGAATTATAAATAGATTTACGCTATGAATTCGCATGCGATAAGGTCGAATTTGTGGAGTTCAGTAAGCGGGAGGTACGGCTCTACTTGACGAGGGTCCAGAATTGGCTCCGAAAGAAATCATTTTTCCAATTTTACCTAGCGGCAGTTGTAGCCGAGGAGCCCAAATGGGTTGCCTCCTGCTCAGCCGTATTGAGCCTAATAGTCGGACTTCACGTCACGTTAAAGGGGCCCTTCCCTTTAGTCGGGGAAAGCGAGTTGGCCCGCGAAAGCGAGATGGCCCGCGCCAAATAAAATCCTTAATAACTTGAAACGTTAACCTTTTTAAATAATTCTAAGTAGTAGAATTAAAAATATAAGCCTTATAAACTGGATACGATTCTCTAAATCTTAAAAAAAGATGTGGGTAGAGAATTATTAAGGTTTTAATAATAAAATTGCGAGAAATACAAAAATCGTAAGAATTATTTGTTTGCGACCATTTCGCAAATATTAGACCTATAACTTTTGCTTAATTATAAATTTTTATTCTTTTACTTAAAACTTTAGCCCTTAAGTATGCGATAGGTAACTATAAGATCGCGAATAAAATGTATTAATTAGATTTTCTATAGCTAGTTTCTAATATTGTTTTTTAGAAGGCAAAAAAGGCCGAAACAGGCCATCTCGCTTTCGCGGGCCAACTCGCTTTCCCCGACTAAAGGGAAGGGCCCCTTTAGCGTGACGTGAAGTCCGACTATTACTAGCGCAAAACGAAACCCCTCAGAAAATGGAGGTCAGAACCTCGAGTTTCCGAGGTGTTTTGTTCGGTATCAATCGACTTATGAGCAGACTGCATCGACATCGACGAGCGAAACCAACAAGTCACCGGCAAACTGTATCGACCCCGACGAACGCAACGCTCCGTTAGTTGGATATCATGTGTAGGCTACACGAGATTGGCCCTACTTTCAGGTGCATATAAGGTCTCACTTCTTCCTCAACACCTAGATCTCCAGCTTAAATATCAATCTTTTATACCCATACGACGCAACACTCTTACATAAATATGAAACCTTTTCCAACAATCTGACACGTTCCTGCTCTCTCTTCTAGTGACCAATTATAATTTACTTACTATTCGGTTCTGACGTGCGAAAGTTCCTGACTCTACACGACTATGTTTGTGGGGAAGAGGAGGGGGGGGGGGGGCATAAGGCGGCTCCTAGGGAGCCTAAACAGGATCCCCTAAAAACACAACCTTTAATCTCTTAGGGCAGATTCTTCTCGCAATATAACATAGCATTATAGCGGAGGTTCGAATACTAGCCTATCTTGGTTACGAGCCTACCACCGTAAGTCTGTGCGCTCAGGGTATATTAGTGACAAATAAAAATTTAAACCTTTAAATACTCAAATATTAATTAATCAAATCACACTTCGGTTACTTTAGTTTTCAGATCCCAAATATCAAGTTATAATTATTCTCCGTTGTCTTATAACTTTTAAGTGATTAGAGAGACTTTAGTTTTCGAAAGCCCTGTAAGCGAATTCGCGATGCCTGAAAATGCCTGAAAAATGCCCTGAGCGCACAGACCTACGGTGGTAGGCTCGTTAGGTTTAAGCAGTGTGGGAAAAAACTACTCAAGCTACTCAAGTAACTCTAGAGTAGAGTAGAGTTTGAGAAGCGTAATATTGTACTCGAGTAGAGTATGAGTAGGACTCACTACTCTACTCTACTCTACTCTACTCTACTCTTTTCCCATACTGGGTTTAAGCTAAGAATATCCTATTCCATACCTTACCCTCAAGTTTATTCCATTCCGATTCCCGAATACTGACTATTGCCCGGCGATACGTTAAACCTTCATCTGTCTCAAGGTCTGCCATAATAGCAATTAGTTCTTCTTTCGCCCTCGCAGCAGATAAAGTACATCGACCGATTATGATAAACCTAACAAGCTCGGATTCCATCTCTATTGGGTGCCGTGGAATTTGGCCCCACTGAGCTCGGAATTCCACCTCATTCTGAAGAACCTTTGGATCTTTGTTTTTTATATCAAAATCCCAATCTCTACCGTCATGTTTATACTGCACAGTCACGACAGCAGTACTGCTCCAGAATCCGAGAACAATGGTCGAAACATTCCGCGAAAATACGGAGACGGGAACGTCACTTCTCGTGATCATCGTCTGTGATTCATCCCTCCAGTCTGGTTTGGGAATATCTGGTTCTTCCTTGTTCCATCGACGGCTTGCGTACTTTTCTTTGAATTCTAAGTTTTGCTGTATGATTTCCGTAGCACCATCAGGGTGGATCTTATGGAAGACAAGACTAGCGTGCCTCGAAGTCAAAGTTCCGAAAACCTCTTCAAAATGAATCTTTCCTACCCAGCCTACCCAAGACCAGCTCGGAAAGGGACATTCGAAAATGTTGCCTGACGAATCGCTGTATTTGCACAAACCAATTCGTCTTCTCACTTGTATCGCCTCATCATGTGCTGGCCATGTCAAAGCTGCTCCGAGATAAAATGTTGGTAGCCCCCACAGAAACTCAAGACCAGATATTTGTTTCAGACTCTCGAGAATTCCTTTGAATGCGTCAAGTCCATCGCTTTCGTAGGACAATTTCCGCTGGGAGTATATCTCAACTAGTTGACGATATCGCTTCTCGACAAGGTTCGGATTTGAAGACCATATATTGCGCAGCTCATCTACCAAACCATGACGGTAGATGGTTGGCGAATTTGGACATTCCCAGAAACCATCTTCACACCATGATGCCTGGCTGCACTGCCAGTACACTTGCTCCTTTGTGAAGATAAGGGCTCGTGGAGATAGCATTCCTTCCTGAAATGTCCAGCCTCTGGTATTCCAATTGGATTCGGCCAAATAACCAACGCTATTTATATTTATCGGGTCCACCGTTCGAACGAGAGTTACACCTTTTATAGTAAAAGGTGTTTGAACTTGGGTTCGAGTTCCGTCATGCATCCCTGGAAGTCCACTTTGAGAATCGCTACCCGCAGCATCGATTATAGTCAATATTGAGTGACGGTATATTGCATCCATACGGGGAATGAATTCCATTTTCTCCAAATCGTCATCTTGCACAATGCAGATGCTATCAACCCAGAGGTATTTCTCGCCAATTGCGTCCGCCAGGATCATAGCGTCATAGATGGTTTTTGGAACCCTGTCACGAGATAGAAAGCCGGGAGTCTTGAATTGGTCAAGAGATTCCTTCTTTAGAGTCAAATTTTTGGATTTGCCCCAAAGATAGCTGAGAGCGACCCACTCGGCCTTTTCCGTAAGTTCAACAACGCATTCTTGTTTCACCTCGATTAGGCGAATTCGAAATGCCGTAGGTCCATTGAATGGCGCCCAACATTTCGTGCCGTGGGAACTAATGCAATAATCTTTCCATCTCCTGAAGAGACGACAATCTGCGACAAGCGGCCTTATCCGTCCGAGATATGGCTCCTTGTGGTCTGGCCACTCATTGGAAGAGGTGTTGTTGAATATGGAAGCCACATTATTGACTTCAGTGGCGCACTTTTGAAAGACCGCGTTGGGTCCAATCCACCCGTTGCCTTCCGGATCCCTGACTGTGTACGAGACTGAAATCCTGAAAAGGCTGGGAAAATCCATTGGCGACTCGTCACGATCGCCATCGTCATTATTGCCATCGTTATCGTTATTATCGTTGTTGACTTCTCCTTTGTCTCCATCCTCATCTGACTCATTAATCTCACCTAACTCATTATCCTCGATCTCGTGCAACGTCTTAGTTCTCTCAGCCGCGAAGCTAACTCTTGCTTCCTCAAGGTGAAGGCGTCCGAACCCCCCATAGGCTGCCTGCTCCCATTCCGTAAACGTTCTAGTCACTATTCCACACAGAAAGCACTCGTCCTGTCTTGCCATTACGTCCAAGAGAGGAACATCATCTAGAGAGAAAAAGTTGTAGTCTGGATCGCCAGGAGCATGTAGCCCTGCAGCATGGAAATCGATCTTGTCGCAATCGGCACACAACTCCATTTGAAAGCACGGAGAGAGAGATTTAACTTGCTAGTAGCAGGGCTGTCTTGTGAAATATTCGGGATCGAGGGTGGAAGATTGATTGGTGTAGTCGGGAAAACGATAAGAGTAGATAGTTGACATTCCACGACGAAAATTTTGACCAACTTCGCTTCGAATGCGGTTAGTGAATATCGCCGCTCTGCTCAGCTGTGGCTTGCCCTCCATCTGGTTGACCATAGCGACCAAAAGGCTCAATGCCTGATTTTCGCCATTTTCGCCATATTCCTAAGGCCATAGCTAATTATTTTGACCCCATCATCTGAACTATACTAAATAACTATATGATTCACAGCTTCACATGACTATTTCTAAGGCCCTAGCCAATTATTTTAGCCCTATAGTCTGAACTATACTAAATAACTATATGATTCACAGCTTTATGGCCCTATTTCTAAGGCCCTAGCTAATTATTTTGCCCGTATCGTCTGAACTATACCAAACAACTGCATGATTCACAGCTTGATTTACAGCTTAATTTGAATTATTCAGGCTCCCATTTGAGTCATTTTTAGCCCTAGATATCTATAAAATAGGCCCTCAGCTCCTAGCCCTCCCTCCAACTTCCTCACACACATATATACACTCTCTCCTCACACACACCTCACATATAATACTTTATATATATTACTTTATATACACTACTTCATATATATATAATGGCAGCCCAAGCTCAATAGGATCTCGTTGTCTGAACTCGTGTGGACCCCTCCAATAATGCTCAGGCTCAGTACTTCCTTTATATGAGAGGGAATAAGCTCTAGTCCTTAGTTATTAATAGCAGCCCTTAGCAAAAGCGTATCTTTAATATTAATAATCCAGAACCCTCAGATATTGCAATTAAGGGTCTCTATACTTCTGGTACCTTTAATGCCCTACTTCTCTCTAAGGTTATTAATGCAATCTTGACTTAATAAGTATAAGTTACTTCTCCTGAGTTTATATAATCTATACTAAGTAATATAGTGGCCAAGTTAATACTCAAACTCCTTATACTACTTATAACAAGGGTCAAGGCATATTTATGAAGTATTTGAGGGTTCCTGGTAGAGAATGGCATAGGGCATATAGTAACTATATTTGTTATAGTTATGCGACCCAGTATACTATACGAGATATTAATAATAATAGAGGAGAGGGAGGTTCTAGAGGAAAGCCCAAATCCCCTAAAATTACACGAAATAAACGGGTTTTAAAGCCTGAACTTTACTCTAGCCAGCAAGTTCTTGGCTTCTAATTTATATAAGTAGATAGGGCTATTTGCTCTCTTTATATTATATAATTGCCTGGCTTTTACGCAATATTTAATAGATTATATTAAGCTCTTAATATTTGCTCTCTTTTAATTTTACTTATAATTACAATTTCTTTTATATAATACCTAAAAACTAAGAGAAAGAGATTCTAATCTAGACCCAAGTATTATATAATAAGTATAAAATCTTCTAATATTAAACCAAGCTAGCTAAGAAGCCCTATTTTCTCAGATTCCTTCCTTCTTTCTTTCTATTTTTAGACTTAATCTATTTAGTCTTTCTAGTAAATATCTTTCTAATTCTTTTACTATATAATATACTTTAAGTAAGTGAAATAACCTCCTCTATCTCTCTTATAGCTAGAGCTTATTCTTTACTTTCCTAGCCTCTGTCTTCCTCCTTACTATAAGTATAATCTGGCTTAGCTTGCTTTTTAGCTTATTTTTCTGGATCTAAGACAGATTATACTTTCTTCTATATATAATTACTTAAGCTCCCCCTTTTCTTAAAAGCATTATTTACTAAGCTCTAGATCTTACTTCTCGCTATAAAGTTCTTAAGCTCTTGAAGCTCTTAGAGCTTAGTAAGGAATATACTTTTATACTTACTAACTATCTCTTTATACTTAAGGATTATAGATTACTAATTTATATATTAATAATAAGTCTCTAGGGATTTAGGGGATATAGATTATAAAGGAAGAGGAGTAGCTTCCTTTAAGGGGCCTGAGGCTTAACTAGAAGAAAAAGGTATCTAAAAGAGGTTTTAGTATATACTTATTAAGTAGATATTATATAATATACTACAGGTCTTAGATGAGGCTTAGAGGGCTCTACTTTAATAGTAGGCTCGATTTTTACACGCTTGGCTTTAGTTACTTTAGTAGGCTAGGAATAAAGTTTAGTTAAAAAATAAGAAATAATTAGGTAAAAGAACTTACTTCCCGGCCTAATTAATTATATAATAAGGTATAGCTTAAAAAGACCGGACCCTTTTCCTTTTTAATAGCTTCTAGCTAAGGAGAGGTATTCCCTATTAAAGAAAGAGTTAAAGAGGGAAATAAGGGAAATAGCTTCTTCTCTCTACTATATAGTAGCTTAGCTAGCTTAGGTAATATAAGTATAGCCTTATATCTCTTCTAATATTATTAAAGGCTCTTTTAAGTAAAGTCTTTATTCTCTATAAATAGAATTAAATAAGCTTAAAACTTATAGATATCCTTTTAAACTAATATAGCCAGATAGGGTAAAAGATCCCCTATTATATAAATCTCTCCAGGAAATAGTTCTTCTAGGTCTCGCGAAAAGGGATTATCTCCGTCTTTCTAAGCTATAGCTATCTAGGTCTTATACTCTCTAGTCTAGAGGACTAGCTTCTTTATATAACTATATACTTAACTATATCTTCTACTTAAAATGCTAGTTATAAGCTTATTAACTATAAAGGCTTATATCGGGTTATTTCCCTAATCCTTAAGTTTTAAGGAATTTGTTTTAAAAACCTTATATTTAATATTACTCCCTAAGCTAGTATAAGTATTATATAATTCCTGGAAAAGGAGGGTATATATATACTAAGAATACGGAATTGGAAAGATATAAAAAAAAAAAAATTAAGCTCTTTATTAGAGGACTAGATATAATACTTTTGGACTTTAAAGAAAGCTAGCTATATAATCTCCTATTAAGACCCAAACTTTAATTTACCTATTTGGGATTAAGGATAATAAGAGAGAGTAAAAGAGCTAGTATTCGGACGTTTCTGCTCTTTTTTAGTAGTAGCAGCCGCTAAAGCTTGGTGTAAACTAGCTATAATTATTATATAAGGGATAGTTCTTGGCCTTTATAATTAGATAGCTAATATAGGGGGAAGTAAGCTAGACTTGCTCGCTCTAGAGGGTCTAGGCCTTAGCTCAAGCTAACCGGGGTAATTTGGGCGAGGTTTAGTAGCCCATATATCATATAATAAAGGGAGAAGGAATTCAGCCTCCTCTCCTTCTTCTTGCTTAGGCCTGGCCCGGGCTTTATAAAACTTAGTAAAGAGCTTATTAAGTAATAGAAGAGAAGAAAAGGAGGCCGTATAATAGGAGTTACTAGTAGGGAACTCTGTATTACTATCTAGAATCTTAATAGTAGTCTTCTCTATACTCTTAAGTATAGGAGAGAACGCTATAAGATTAACTAAGGAGGGGCTGCGTAAATAGGTAATTTCTGTACTATATTACTTATATATAATCTGGCCAGGCTTATTAAGAGTATTCCTATATATAAGGCATTAAGGGAGAGAACCTAGAAAAGTTTCTTCTAGAGATATCTTAGAGTAAGAGAAGGAAGAAGATATAATTATAAGTATATTATATAATTAAGGTAGAGATATAGTAAGGTCTTAAAGTAAAGACTTACTTCTTTTTCTGGGCTATCTGCTCTAATAAGACCCTCTTATCTAGTTACTTCTTATCCTACTCTCCCTTATCTAACTTGCTTAAAATCCCTTTTTTACTAATATCTATTCCTTCTATCTCTCTTTATTAGGATTATATAGCCTCTATAAACTTCCAGTTCTTTAAGATTAGCTGCCTAAGGCGAGATCCGTTACGCTATATCTCTTTAGTTCTAATTTTAATCTTTGGGACAAGTTCTAGCCGTGGGTTTGAGTTTCTATTACTAATATAGTGCCATATAGTAAGCCAAAGGTAATAGTATGCCTTAATATAGAGCCTGAAACCGTCCGGTTTACTGGATTCTTTTATAAGGCTTAAAGAATTAATTCTAATATTTGTAAGCTATAATTTGCACTATATTAAGGTATTATATAGTAAGTATTTATTAATATTTATAAGTAATAATATTAGTAAACTAAGATATATTTGTAGTTTAGTTAATTAAGGGGCCCTAGAGCTAAGGAAAGGAACTAGCGGTAAGAAACGGTTAGGACTGGGTTTGTTTATTTAAATAAGTATTATATAATGCCCTGAGTTAAGCTATAGGACTAGCTACTGCCTATATTAGAAGAAAGAGACTATAGAAATAACTTATTCTAATTAGTATAATCTTACTCTAGTTTAGCTAAGAGCCCCTTATTTACCAGAAGCCTATATTACTTAATAGCTATATACTTATATAGGAATACAGGAATACCTACTATATAATATTTCCTCTTTAGATCTTTCCGGATCTAGTAGTAATTTCATATATCTATATATAATACTATAATATATTATATAATAGGTATATAAATAGCTAGTATAGTAATTCGGTCCGTAAGAGTACTATTAAAGTCCCTAGCTATTATAAGGGCTTGAAAAAAGTCCTATACTAGATTAGCCCAAGTAAAAGAATTATATAAATAGATATAAATATAAATATACTAGTAATATAGCCGGAATTTCTCAAGTTAACTTTACTAAGACTCGATTCTTTAATTCTTTGAATTAGTCCCAAAGTAATAGACCTTCTCAAAAGGAAGAATTAGTATTATTATATAAGAAAGAGCGTATTAGACTTTAGTAATAAAAGGGACCTCTCCTCCTTTATTAGAGGAAATTACTCGGGGGTAATAGCTAAGCTTTCTGAGTACCTAAAGAAACTGGCCAAGTATACTATATGCCATATAATTAGAAATGCCTATATAGCACCAGATAATATTGCGAGAATAAATATTAATAGTAGTATAGATTTGGAAGCCCTATAGAGCTAGCTTATTATACTAATTAAGAGACTACCTCTAATCCGGGCCTTTAACTACTATCTCTTGCTTCTTACGCTATATATCATTTGTATGACGCTTATAGCCCTTACTATCTAGGCCCTTAATAATATTATAAATTAATTAGCGAGGGGTAGTAACCTCTATTTAACGGAAGTATGTTTTAATCAAGCCTGCTCTATAGCCTTTAATCCCCCCATAGTCTAGCTCCTCTCGCACGATACCTATAAGCTATTAGTACTTCTGCTTCCTCTCCTCTATTATTATCCTCCGAATAAGACTAAGATCTAGCCTATATTGCGCAAGCTGTCGGCGGTAGAGGGGCATCCCCTTAATTAAAAGTGCTTAGAGAATTATATTATTATTATAATTGCCCGCAAATAACTCAGAAATATGTAGTTTGATCCTCTTAACCTCAGGAGACCTATTCTTCCTATTGCGCAATATACCCTAATTAGAGAGAGCTTGTTTGAGTGTATTTAGGCTATATTTAACCCGTAGAATTCCTCTTATTTTACTTAAAATCTCAGGGATCGTGTGCTTCTCAGAGACCCAACTAAGAATCTCATCTTTATAAGGCTCAAGATCAATCTTTGGAGGCATTTTTAGTACTGCGCAATGTGTGCGATATGTTGAAAGTGGAATAATTAAAGTAAATAGTATGTGGTAGGTCAAAAATGCGATTTTCCAAAAATTCGATTTCGCGGAAAAAGCCTTTGAGCCTTTTGGTCGCTACGGTCAACCGTACTCCAGCCCCTGTAAGAGCAGCGACTGCTCGGCAAGAATAGCTACGATATTACGCAAATAGTCAACATGTCGGGATGCTGCGATAGCCAGTCACTCGGCTGACTTTTGCAGACTGCTTAGACAGTTTCGAGTCTGGGGAGAAGGGGGAGTCCTCCGACGAGTAAAGTTTGTGCCCGCAATTCTGGATGCAGGGCTTCTCGCTTCATCGCTTTGTCTTTGTGTCCTCCGTGACAATTCGCGCCCTCGTATGACATCAAGCACCGGAATAGTCCGAAAGGCTGGCTGTCGTCAACAAACTTCCAATTAGGTAAGCTCAAGCAATCGACGGGCATTCCGGCCATATTCGATGAGTGCTGTTACGCTGTGGATGTTCATATTCGCAGGTCCGCTTGATCAACTCAAGCTAAAGCCGATGGACCGCCGGGTGTCACAGCGGATGGGGTCCAGAATTCTTCGAAAATGTGAAAAAGGAATGAAATGCTCAAAAATTCAACCGACAATAGGGATTGGATCTGCCTCGGGGAAATTCCGAGATATTGCTTCAGCACGCCAATGGCAAACGCCGTTGGGAGCCCTTCGATCATCGACTCGCTTAATTCTTCTGTGACGCTCGCTAAAGAGAACACTGCAGCTCCCAAGATCTCCCTGTTCTTGTCGCTGATCTGCTTCACCAGCGTTTGACAATTCCTTCAATCTTGGCAGCCCACCATCCCCCCTGACCCTGTGCTCATTGCCAAACCGCTGCAAACATTACGCCATTTCAAGAAAATAGCCCTCTCCCGTTGGCGGAAAAAACCTCTAGCACGTCACAGACTCCTAATTTAGTCTCTCGGACGCTGCCGATAGGTGCCTCTTACAGTCGGTCCGATCCAAAAGCGACAAAAAAAAAACCCCCCCACCACAATCCTAATTAATATAAATCGTATTAATTAAAACTATACTATATACCCTAGGGATTAATTCTATGTTCTCAAAATTATATTATCTTTATTATTAAGGAAGTTATAATGCACGTAATTAAGCGAGCAAATATATTTGCGTTTTATATAGTTGTTTTTTTACTTTGGTTGTCACGTGACTGCCCCCCTAAGTTAACTGCTCTTCTATAATTATATTAATATCTCAATAACCACAAACCCAATCAAGTGCCCTTTTTGAATACTTCTAATAGCTATCTCTATAAGCCTTTAGAAGCGCAAGCAAGCTAATTTAACTCTTAATTCAATTATAGTTTTTATTCTAGCTAAAAAAGCTATATTTCAAGTAACTATTAATAAATGATATGGGAAACCCTCTAATATAGAGGATAATTCTAATAATTCAGATATTAAACTAAGTAATAAAGTAGAGTTTAAAGATTTAATGCTTTTTTGGGTTTAGTAGAAGCTTTTTATTAGTAGTAATAAGACGATTATTTTAGAGAAGCCTTTAGTTATATAGTAAGATTAGTGACTTATAGAATAAACTAGTAAGTTTTATCTCATTTTCTTATTTTTATATTATAATATAAGTATACTAAGACTATTTCTAGCTTCTAGAGACTTATATAACTTTAAATTAATAAAGGAATTAGTAAAGCTATTAAGAACTTAATAAATATATATATATAACTAGAGGACAAAAAATACTCAAGCTATAGAGTAATCTAATAGGCTTAAAACCCCTATAATTATATTATTTTTTAAATAAAAGAAGCTATAATTCGATATTATTAGGAGGCTAATTAATATCTCTAGAAATATATAATTAAGGGAAAAGTAAAGGCTTAAAGATAAAGATAATAAAACTAATAAACTACTTTTAAATACCTTTATTAGAACCGCTTATAAAGATAATAAAGCTCTAAATATACAAATAACTTATTAAGAAGTCCTTAATAATATAAATATTAAGCTAACTCAAATTAAAGAACTATATACTTTATATATAATTACTAATTTATACTTACTCTAGTAATATATCTAATAGCTTATAAAGCTAGAATAATATTAACTTAAAAGGGTTAATATATTACTTTTAGTAGCTTCTAGTAATTATTACTTTAATAATAGAAAGATATTAGCTTAGTAAATTAGGGAACTATTTAATTATTATTAATAGTAGTATAGTATTCTGCAGGAAACTAGAGGTAATAAAAGAAATAGTATCTCTTATCTAAATAATAAGAATATTTTTTTAGCCTGCTATACTTAATTAATTAATTAAGAGCTTGAAATAATATTACTAAACGATTTCCTAAATACTATTAATTAGGAGATTTTATTATAAGTCAGGCTTTAGTATAAAGAAAACTAGTAATTCGATTAACTAAATAGAATTCTTTAAAGAAAAAAGAAAAAGAAAAACAGAGAGAAGCAGAACTATATTTCCTAAAATATTTAAGCTTCCTAAATAATATATAATTATTCTATTAATCTATAGAAATATATTATATAATAAAAGCCCCGGCCTTTATTATATAATTTAATAAAGGCTTCTAGCCAAATATATAAATCGGGTCTTAATCTATTATATTACTCTTCTTCTTATTTATAGATACCGGTTCTATAAATATATAGGCAAAACTTCTTTTCGCTAAATAACCTCTTTCTAAGCTTCTAATACTATTATCTCCTTAAGTATATAATATAGTTCTTATATAAAGTATATATATCTCTTCTATTTTATAAGTAGCTTCTTTAAAAGCCCCTAACTATATCTTATATATCTCTTATTAAGAATCCGTTCGATTTTATACTTGTCTTTATTACTTATAAGTTATAATTATAGCTATAAATTATTTTGGGACTAGCTTAATAACAGGTTTATTATAGCTAGCTAAAGAAGCTTACTATAAAATATATTCTATATTTCTAGAGAAATATTGAGCTGAAAACTATAGCTTTCTACTATCTCGACTACTATATACTTAATATACTTTATATTAAGCTTTTTAGTTAGCCTATTTATTCGAATATTCTAGAGATTAAGCCAGACTTTATTCTTAATTTTAACTTCCGGGGCCTAATCTCTCTTCCGGTTTACTACTTCTTCTTAGAGCTATTAAGCTATTACTATTACGGCTTATATATATTCTTATATATTATAGAGCTTATATATAATATTATCTATTATCTAAATAGATAATACTTTTCTATCTTTTTTACTAACTTTATTCTAAAGCTAGACTGGCTTAATATAGTATTTATAAAATAGAAAAAAGGAGCTAACTCTTATAGAAGTAGTATTCCGGTTATTAATTACTAGTTTAATATATAGTAAAAGGATTATCTAGTTTACTTAATTATAGTTTATAAAAGTATAGAAAAAAGTCTCAATTATCTAATTTATTCTTTTTATAGACTTGTTTATTTCGAGATAATATACTATAAATAATTATTAAGTAATTTCTAGTAGTTTATATACTCTTGCCTATAGTATTTCTATAAACTACTTCTCTTAGTTAAATATTATAGCGCTTAAAAGCCTATATTAATAATAGTAGATTTTTATAAATTACTTTACTACTATCTCTACTATAATATCTATTATAGCTTCAAATATTATTTCTTTTTCTAGGTAGTCTATAATAGCTATTATATTAATATATTCTTTATTTAATAGAAGTTTTACTATAAAATTAATTGAGATCTCTTATTAGATCCGACTAGGGATAAAAAGGGGCTTTAGAAACCCTTAATAGTAGTTCTTCTATACTTTATTTCTTTTATAAATATTATAGTTTTATATAAACTAATATATTTGCCTTAATATATTTGGCTAAAAGAATTACTATATAAGGAAAGTGCCCGTAATATTTTATTTTAGGTAACTATATTAAATTGAATTATATATTTATTAGATTAGCTCTATATAGAGCTCTTTTAAATTTGGAACCTATTATTACTCTCGAAATAGTAATTATTCGGACTAGAATAGTAAATACTTCTCTATTAATACCTTAATCTTTAAGCTAGATAGAAATACCCGTTTTTTCTTTTATATTACTTTAATTATAGCCTAATATAGTTTATTTCTCTCTTAGGCATCTTACTATAGCTTTCTAAACTTGTCTTAAATATAATTTCTCCCTTATTACTCTATATATTCTTTATTAGAGTAGTCTTTTTCCGAACTTTGGCTTTTTAAGCCCGGCTCAGAAAAGGCCTCTTATTTCTCGAGAATTTATACCTTATCTTATTTCTTTTTTTAATACTTCCGGTTTTAATCTTCTAATCTAGGCTCGGAGACTAGAGCAGGTTTTTTCTTAGCTTATTATCTTGCCCGTACTAGTACTATAAGAATTATATTTTTAGGGAGATTATTAAGGGTTTCTAGTTTTAATAATTATAATATTCTTAACTACTAGTATTTATTTCTCTTCTCGCTAGAAAGGTCTTATTCTTATCTTAAAAATATATTTACTTATTTATTATTCTTTCCTAGAATATATAAGATCTTAAAATTATATTATAAGAGAATTAGGAACTATCTTATCTACTATTCGGTATATTTCTATACTATTATAAAGTATTTCAGATTTTTATAATCTATTCGAATTTCGAATTAATAAATACTTCTTAGCTCTATATTCTATTTCTTTAAATAATGAATAATTACAAGTATTTCCTTATTATAGATCTTATAGTTATATTCTATAGAATTATTCTTTTTCGAAAAAGAAATATAAGGTTATAGAATACTCTCTCTATTAATTTATATAAGAATATTATCTATACTTTATTCGGAAAAGTTTATTTTAAGAATTGTCTTCTAGTTATAGTTAAATTATACTAGTATTAGAGCTAAAATAAATATTTTCTTAAACTTTTAGAAAGTAGCCTCTACTTTATCCGTTTATAAAAATATCCGGTCTTTATATATAAGGTT